GATGTGTTGGTTAGCTCCACCAACTCAGGCAGTGCTAGCTTCCCTCCCATTTCCAACCACTTTTCATTTTTCTACTTTCTCTATCCCCTTTGCTTTGAGAAATGCCATAGTCCCAGCTAGTTTATTGAAGTTGTTTATTGATGATGTCTTCAGGCATGAAAGGTTGGTTCTGGAATAATAGGAAGAGTAACTCTAAGGGATGAGAGTCCCATGACATTTTCCCTAAAGTTCTAAGTATAGGACATCTAACCCTGATACTACCTGTCCTACTATTTGAATTTTATTTATTAACTTAAATAAATTCTTTGTTATGCAGTTTATCAAACTCCCCTCTTCCCACTACCCATTCTAGCTCCTCACCCCTTTGACCTATTCCTGTCCTGTGACATTTCTGTACTGTTTTCAGATAAAAATAAGTTGAGGATTTTTTTTTTACTTTAAACCAGTTAAACACTAGGGAGGAAATATAGTACAGTGGAGAGAACACTGATTTTGAAATGTGAAGACCCAGTTTTAAATCCCCCCTTTAATAATTATTACCTGAGGGACTGTGGGAGTAAATAACCTAACTTCCTTAGGGGTTAGTTTCCTTATCTGTAAAAGAAGGGGGTTGGAATAGATGGCCTCTGAATCCAGAGTATGAACTTATGAAATTTTGAATGCTTAGTCTAGGGGCAATAAGGTCTCTGTAACCATGTGTCAACCTGCATCCTATAGGATCATAAGATATTAGCATTAGAAAGCACTTTAAAGTAACATCTCCAGGTATAGTAACATCTAACAGGTGTAAAGCAGCTTACCTAAGGTCTAAAGCTACACAGGGAATTACTTCTATAAGAACTGGTAGTTTAAATAGGTTTTAGTTTTCTGTCCATATTGTTATCAATCTTTTTTTTTTCTGCTAAGGATAATATGTAGCTTCACAGAAAAGTCCTATTCCAATACCTCTTCTTCATGGTATGGTCATGAAACCATGACTCTGGTTTCTAGAAGGCTATTCCAGGAAAACACAAGCTTTGGCTATTCCTACCATGTTGGAAAGGCTTTGAGACAGGACCCTGTGACAGGCTCATCCTCAGAGAGCCAGCCCAAGTGAAAGAAGCTCATCCCCAGGCTGACCAGGGGGTGATGACATTTTTTAGCCAGTCAAGTCTTCAAGATCATCTTTCAAGCTGCAAAAGAGTTGGGCTCTGTGTCAGTGAAAGAAGTCACACCAAGGCAATCATAGATGCTGAAAATATCAAAGTACCAACATCTTCCATTGTATTGTGTTCAAACTTCTCTCAGGGAACTCTGGTATTTTGCCTCCCTCCCCCACCTTCACTTTATCATTGATATTGTAAATGCAGGGCCTTTATTGTACCTATCCCTGGGACAAGCACTGCAGGTGAACAGTAAGCTACACCTGTAATTGAATAGGAGGGAAAAGGGAGCCCAGATAGCATTTGGGGAACTGTGCAGTGCTCAGCACTATCCCAAGCTCTTCTGTGACACAAAAGCCCATTTTTTAAAACACTGATATTCCCTCCCCACCCCACCCCCGTGTTTCTATATCATGGCTTTGAACCGTGAAACAGTTTCCAAAGAATCAGAAGTGTAGGTACCAAAGGACCATAGAAAGAGGTGCAGTGGGCATAAGTAGACCATTTCATATTACTAATGTGGTTTTGTGTTCAAGAAATGGTTTAAAAGATATCATCTGGGGCATATATGATTGGGGGGAAAAAGAAGGGCCAAGGATAAGAGATGGACAGCTCAGGGACTGCACTTGGTTGGTACTCATGGAATTAGTCAATCAACAGGTGTTTATCAAGTCTGCTAGGGTATTGCTAGGAGCTGGAAAATGTGCAAAGACCTAGAAGAAGGCCTATGCTGTGTTGGGTCGATTCTCTATGGAAGATTTATGGAAGGATATGGAAAATAATCACACAGGATGATAAGTTGTGAATAGGTAGTGGTCTGCACCAATGGAAGAGTTACCTTCATGGATGAGATCACAGAGCTATTGAAACATTGCAGCAAATTCAGTTACAATTAGATAGCACTCTGCTGCTTAATGTAAAATAATTTCTTCAAATCTCCTCACAAATTCCAGATAGGGAGACTGTAGGAGATGAAAGTGATTGGTACTTTTGGTGAGGCTTATATTTTCAATGTTCAATAAATATTTTTTGAGCTTGCCATGTGCCCAGCACTGTGCCAGGTGCTGTGAGGGAAACAAACAAAAAACAATATGTTCTTCTCCCTGCTTTGAAGGACCTTACAGTCTAGCTTGGGTAGAAAAGACATAAGTGCATGAAAAATTAAATAACAATATAAGAGATAAATAGCAAGGGAGACAATGTTAAGAGCTGCCGCCAGGCAGCGCATGAGCGCTTACTTTATGCGGGGCACAGTGAAGAGTTTTGTTACGGAATGGGCCTACAGCTGGCCACACATTCTGGCTACGTAAATTCCTTCTCCATTACAAAGACCTCAGGCAAGGGAGAGAGAGAGGGAAATAAAGGACACAAGAATGGGCCTGGCTTTGGTCTGTTAGTAAGTCTCAGTGAATAGGACTGGAGTCCCTGTCTCCCCCAAAGACTCATCTTCTTTCTGCCTCTTCTTTCCTTCTCCATACACTGTGTTCTCTTAAGGTCTCCCAGACGCGGCCATTACCCTGGACAGCTCCAGAACTCTTGCTTTGTTCCACCAAAGGGGAGCCCATTTACCCAAGGCCAAAGGGACCCTGCCCTCAATAGCAAATTCCAAGAATAGCAGGAGACGTCTCCTCAATGTCCTGATTCAGTCCCTGCGACGACTGCTGGTGACTGTTGCATCAGGTTCTCAGCAAAACATACAAATACCTCCGAGGCGCTCTTTTCCAGAACTCAGATTCCTGGGTTGGGCTGTGAGTAAACGAAGCTCATAGTTCGAAAGGTCTCTTTTACTGCAATTATCTTACGGATGGCTCACTCAAGACAGCCTCGCTTTCCAGCTCCAACCACTGGGGAATACCTTCAGTAACCACGAAACACCAACAGTACAGCTAATGGGTGGTGGTGGTGAGGGGGTGATTTAGAGGGTCCTGTCTAGGGAGACACCGAAACTGGAGGAGGCGGGAGATAAGTCAGGGGTCAAAAGCTCCTTTTTCTCGGTCCCCGGGGCTGCAATGGGCGGAGCTGCGGATTAGAGAGCCAGCTCCCTAGAGGGTGGCGAGAAGGAGAAAGGCAAGCAGAAACGGTACGCCGGGCTGAGCGCCGGCAGCGACGGGGTTACTCGGTCCGGCGCAGCTGCGGGCTCAGCCTGGGCCCCGAGAGAGAGAGTCAGCCCTCCAACCCCCAGCTGCTGCGCCCCGGTATCTCATCTTCCCCTCCTGGTCCAGGCACAGCGCCCCGCGCTCCGCCCACCCCACCCCACTAAGGGCGCGCCTGGGCAAGGCGGAGCCGTCAGGAAAAGCCTCCGGAGCTGGGAGTCCGCAGCCGGGAGTCCGCAGCCAGATCCCTGGGCAAAAGATGAGAAGATTCTCGGACGCCTGGGTCCCCAGCCCAAGCCGTAACATCAGTGATCCTTGGAGAGCCTCCACCTAGAGAGGCACCTTTCTCGGACCACCCCCACTTCGGTCTCACCCTCCGACTCGGCCAATCTCCCCCCCCACCACTTTCTCTCCGAGCCAAACGTCGTCCCCCCACCCCACCCCCAACGCCGACATGGGCAGAAGCTTGGATGGTGAGGCCCCCATTGCGGCTGGATCCCAGGGCCCCGGCGCCGGGGCGCTCCGCTGAGGCCAACCCCCCCCCCCCCGAACCCCGGCTCAGCCCTCCAGCACTAGAAGCGCTCAGGTGCCGGCGCTCGAGTCTTCCTCAGATCTACCCGGATAATCCGCTAAGGGCGCCGACAGCTCGGGTCAGCGCTACTGCCCCGCCCCTTAGCTCAGCGCGGCGCAGGACGCCCCGTCGGATTCCCCCGCCCGCCCCGGTCCGGCCCCCGCAACGCTGCACCCAGACGCCACCTCCCGGAATCCCGCTCGCAGTCCGCGCCAGGGACCCAGGGACCCGAGCCTCCCCCGGTCCTACCCGCACCGGCTTGTTTTCCTTCTGCAGGCGCCGCCGCCTCGCCCAGCGCAGCCCCTCCCCCCTCCCCTCCTCCCTCTCTGCGCTGGATTTATGAATGGGGGGAAGAGGCCACATGCCGCCACCGCCGGGGCTGTTGCTGCTGCTGCCTCGTGTTGACCAAGACTAGCTTGGGCTGGCGGAGCCGCTGCCTTGAGAGCATCGACCCGGCCCCGGCAGCCTCTGCTTCGAGGACTTGTTGCTGCTGCGCTACTGCTGCCCCTGCTGCCCCTGTCGCCACCGCGGCCACCGGCGTTGCTGCTCCTAGCTTGGAAGGAGGCGCTCCTGGGGCTGGGTCCGGGTCTGGTGGCGAGAGTGCGGCTCCGACTCCGCGGAGCTGCGAGCTTGAGGGTCAGGCTACTGGAGTGCGGCTTCGCGGGGCTGTGTGTGAGCGCGTCCCCGGCCCTAGCTAGTGCTGCTTTGGACGCTTCTCTGCCGTTTGCGGGGTGGTGGGGGTGGGGGTGGGGGTGTGTCGCGGGTCCCTGCGAGTCTGCCCGGTGTTCCTGTGTGTGTGTGTGTGTGTGTGTGTGTGTGTGTGTGTTTGAGTGTGTCCCTGCGGAGTGGGGGAAGCAGGGTGTGTGTGTGTGTGTGTGTGTGTGTGTGTGATTGTGCCCCTGTAGGGAGGGAGGGTCAGTGTGTGTGTTAGCGCACTCACGTAGTGTGTGTGTGTGTGTGTGTGTGTGTGTGAGAGAGAGAGAGAGAGTCTGTGTGTGTGTGTGTGTGTGTGTGTGTGTACGTGCGCGCGCGTGCCCCTGCCTCTCTGTGTCCCTTATTCTGGCCCTCAGTTTTCCTCTTCCCGCTTCCCCCTCCCGCTGCCTGGCTCCCCCTCCCTTCTTCTTCTTCTCCTCCTCTCTCTCTCTCTCTCTCTCTCTCTCTCTCTCTCTCTCTCTCTCTCTCTCTCTCTCTCTCTCTCTCTCTCTCTCTCTCTCTCTCCCTCCCTCCCTCTTTCCCTCTCTCTTTCTCCCTGGCTGCTCTGCCTCCCAAAGCCCCAACCACCTGTGCATCTGAGAAACCTAACTCCTTTCCTTGGAGCCTCGGGGAGTTGTGCCCTGGCGGGGAAGGCAGGGGCAGAGGCACACCGCTGGGAGGGGGCTGCCTGCCTCTTTCCTCCTCCTCCCTTCCCTGCACCCCCGTTCCCCCTCTTCTCCTCCGCCCCCCCACCCTCAGTCTGACGCTGCCTCCTCGGGAAGGGTGTTTAGAGGGCAGCGGCCGCCCCAAGCCGGAGCCCCGCAGCGCTTCTTATGATCAGCTCGGTGTGTGTATCCTCCTACCGCGGGCGTAAGTCAGGGAACAAGCCTCCGTCCAAAACATGTCTGAAGGAAGAGATGGCCAAGGGCGAGGCGTCGGAGAAGATCATTATCAACGTGGGCGGCACGCGACACGAGACCTACCGCAGCACCCTGCGGACCCTGCCTGGCACTCGCCTCGCTTGGCTGGCGGACCCCGACGGAGGAGGGGGAAGGCAGGATCAGAATGGGGGCGGCGGCCGCGCCGGGAGCAGCAGTAGTTGCGGTGGCGGCGGCAGCGAGTTTTTCTTTGACCGGCACCCGGGCGTCTTCGCCTACGTCCTCAACTACTACCGCACCGGCAAACTGCACTGCCCCGCCGACGTGTGTGGCCCGCTGTTCGAGGAGGAACTCACCTTCTGGGGCATCGATGAGACCGACGTGGAGCCCTGCTGCTGGATGACCTACCGCCAACACCGAGATGCTGAGGAGGCACTGGACATCTTCGAAAGCCCCGACGGCGGCCCTGCAGCCGGGGAGGAGGCAGGGGAGGACGAGCGGGAGCTGGCCCTGCAGAGGCTGGGCCCTCACGAAGGTGGCAGTGGAGCCGGCCCTGGGGGAGCAGGTGCCTGCAAAGGATGGCAGCCTCGGATGTGGGCACTCTTTGAGGATCCCTATTCGTCTCGGGCTGCCAGGGTGAGTAGACGTCTCACCTCTTCTCTTCAGGTGGATTCCCCCAACCAGAGATATAGGGGAGGTCATGTCCTAACTCAGTTTTGAGCTGTGATGTAAGAGAAGTTGGATTTGGGACTAAGACCTGGACCTTCTACCCACTGGGTCACCCTGTGTCTTTTTACATCTTTTCTATCCACCTGGGGCCCCACTTTCTGAGCAGCTTATTTACCTACATACATACTTGCCCAGAAGATTTGCACTTGCACATTTTCTTTCCCATCTTAGACCCTGGACATCATTAACTCTCCTCCTCATCCTCACTTAATCCCTAACCATGTCCCCATCCTACCTGCTTGTCCTGGCCTGCTCTCCATTCTGGGGCTATTTGAGGGTGTTACCTTGGCCTCTTCCCAAACAGAAGCCTTCCAGATGTGCCCTATAACGGTTTCTGGGACTCCTTTTCTACAAAATTCCTCCACCTGATAGACACACTGACTGTCTTTACAATTTCGATATACATAGGAGTCAACAGATGCTGCTGGACAGCTGTATAATGACAATTCTTCATAGGCTAGGAAGGAGTGGGAAAACAAGGGCAGAGCAGGGTTGAAGGTGGGGTAGAGAGGAGGTGGGCTAGATTTGGTCCTGCTTGTTTTCGGACCTTTAAGGAAGCACCACAGATAAGCCTAGAGCTCTAGATCAAGTCTGTGTTTAATCTGAAGCCTCACTGACCTCTGACTTCATTGCTCTTGACCTCATTTGGGGGTTAGACAAGAAGAGTATCCACTTTCCCTGGCTCCAGATGACTCGGGCACAGATTGGATTGTAGCTCATGTGCCTGTACTTCTTCATTGCTATTCATGGCCCTGGATGTGTGTGTGTGTGTGTGTGTGTGTGTGTGTGTGTGTGTGTGTGTGTGTGTGTTGTGGTGGAGAGGAAAGGAACCAGGATAGTCTGAGTGAATACTACTGCTCTCCTACCATGGCTGGGGGCAGGGAGAAGGGGAAGCTAAATCATCCCAGTCTCTACACACACACACACACACACACACACACACACACACACACACACACACACACACACAACGTGGAGGGAAGAAAGAGGGTAAGACTCCTACCCTACCCACACTATTATGCTTATATGACTAAAAGTTTAAAAATAGTTATGGGATAGAGTTTGGCCCTTAAAATAATTGGAGTCAGCTATGAGGCAGGGACCCTTACCCAACCAGCTATAATCTTGGCCCAGGGTCTCCTCAGCTGTGGTTCTATATAAAGCATTAATAGTTATCATGCCACCCTGACCCCCCACTCCAGCACAGAGCATTGTGCCTTGTACATGGTGAGTGGACTTTTAACTGCTTGCTGAATTGAATTGGGGAAAAGCTGAATGCTTCCTTCTGGGAGTGGTAGGTCACCTTAGAAATCCCAAGTTGCCTCATTAACGAGTCTTGTAAGGCAGCCACCCTCTCCCATTGCACCCCATGCCCAGTATCTCCCATTCTAGACCTCAACCCAATCACTGAATAGTTCCATTTCAGCACTCTGGGGAGAAGAGAGCAGAGCAGAAATGAGCGGGGTAGGAGATAGAACTGAAGGTAATGAGTGCATGGGGTTGAGTTGGCATCCTAACTAGAAAAAAGTCTCCTTACTCAGAAGGAAGGGAGGGCCAGGGCCAGAGGGCAGTCTCGCATCCCGTCATGCACATTAGCGTACACCGAGCTGGGCAACGGGGACTCCTGGCCCACGCTGTGAACTAAGACGAATGCAGTGTGGTGTGTGTTGGCCTCTTCCTTGAGCCCAGGATTAAAGGGAGAAGAACATTTGTTGAGGCTATTTGGGCATCCTGGGGTCTTTGGGACTACCTGTTCCTCCAGCCTGGCCCCTGGAATCCTTCACAGCTGATTTCACAAGTTCCTTCAGTAAGGCACCAGGACACTACAGTTGGGTCAGTCATCTGAACTAATGATGAGTGGGGGGAGAGGGCAAAGATAACCCCACAAAGTAAGATAATCCTCCCAATGGCTTCCATTTGGTTCAGGGCCCAGAAGTGGAGATGAAGAGGCAAGAGGATTATGAGTGATGGGACGCTGGCTCTGACTGAGGTGGTGGGGAGGCAGCCTAGGAGGCAGGAACAAAGGCTTCTAGGTTCAGCCCTTTCATAAGCTAACAGCCAAGATGCCCCATTTTCCAGCCAGCTGAGGCCTTTGGGGGTTTCTTACCCTTCTGAGGTTCTTCCCTCCAGGATTGCCCCTTTCCCTGTGGCAGTATCTGCCTCCCAAGTTCTCAGAGCAGACCTCTTGTTTGAGCACAGTATTGCCTCCAGCCGGGGCCCAGCCACCGTGTTTCCTGTACCTCTTCTGAATTTCTCAAGGATCCCAAAGCAGAACTAAGTTTCTCTGACGTTCAGTGCTATGGATGGTTGTGGGCACCAGCTAGAATGGTACTATAGTGGGGCCCACTGATCCAAATCCTGAAATGAACATGTCCAGGACTTAGGTATCCCAACTGGGGCAAGGGTGCCCCTGGGCTTATAGGCAGTGACCCCTTTCTTGAAAATTAATAATAACTGACATAAAAAAAATGCTTTAAAGCTTGCAGAGCACTTTGCATATATTATCTCACTAAAATGGAGTGTCCTAAGAGAAACAGGGATGTGAAAAACCCTTCCAAGTTTAGAGCTTCAGCAGGGCTGGGCCTCAGATTCTTGGATCTGTACCATTATGGTGGAAAAAACAATCGTATAGCAATCAGAGCTGGAAGGGACCTGGGTGCTGGACTTGGGAATCAGAAGACCTGCCCCTTCCTACCTGTGTGACCTTGGGTAACTCTCTGTAAGCCTTGGTTGCCTTCTCTGTAAAATGGGGATGATCCTGGCACTACTTCTATGGAGTTGTGTGAGGAATTATAGTTTCAAAACTGAAAGGGATCTAGAAGTCATCCAGTCCAACTGCCCATTTTACAGATGTGAGAAATGAGTCCCAGGAAAGTAAAGTAACTTACCCAAGGTCACACAAGTTAAATAGCAAATCCAGAATTCAAGCACTCCAAATCTAATGCTCCTTTCACTATTTCATACTTGAAAGAATTCTATAAATGTCACTGCTTTAGGAGTTCAAGACCATGGAGGGCACGCTGGGAGACAAGGGGAGTAGTAGAACAAGCATCTCTTAAGCACCTGCTATGTGCACTATGCTAAACTCTTTACAAATATAGTCTCATTTTGGGGGAGGCAACTGGAGTTAAGTGACTCGCCCAGGGTCATACAGCTAGTAAGTGTCTGGGGTCACATTTGAATTCAGGTCGTCCTGATTCCAGGACTAGTGCTCTATCCATTGCACCACCCAGCTTCCCCCAATGTTATCTCATTTGATCCTCACACCAACCCTGAAAAGCACGTGCTATTATCATCTCCATTTAACAGTGGAGGAAACTGAGGCAGGCAGAGGTAATGTGACTTGCCCTGGGCCACAGAGCTTGTAAGTGTCTATGAGGTAAGATTTGAATTCAGGTCTTTTCTGACTCTAGGCCCAGTCTTCTATTCACTGGGCCACCTAGCTGCCAAGGGAGGGAAGTGCAAACATCCCCTTCCTGAATGAATTTGTAAACATTGTTGTTTAGGCCCCGACCTTGAGTTAGGGAACCTAGGGCAGAAATCAGGCCTAGAGTAAGGGCTTATGGGGTAGAAGTCAAGAGCCCAGGACTAACCAGGAGAGGAGAAGGGCATTTCTCCCAGAAAGCAGCCAAGCAGCCCAGTCATTTGAGAAGTGGATTATAGCAGCAACAAAACAGAAATAAATTAAAATTGAACAAAGCTGGTGCTCAGCTACAGGCCTGGTGGGGCCCTGTACAAGTTCAAATCCAGGTAGATGCCTCATGCTTGGAGATCTGTTACCTTCAAGGTGCTTCTGGAGTCCAGCCTGAGGACGTGGGAATTGTCTCAGCTCTTGCCTGCTAACGTTCTAGGCAGCCAACTCCTCCAGTAATGCTAGTGGGTCTGGCCCTTGGTGCCTTGGTGGGAGCTGCCACATCCCTGCCCGGGGAAGGTAAGAGTATTTCCTGGTGTGGCTTCAGGACCAGAGTTAGATTAATGGCGATTTTGATTGAACTGCGGCAAAACAAGTAATCAGAACCCCCTCCCCGGAGCCAAAAATAACTGCATCCAGTTTTCTGTGGGGCCTCATAAAGTCACAGAAGAATAGAATGTCAGAGCCACTGGGGACCTGAAGGATCATCCAAGTTGTTTAGTGATGCCCTAGGGCAAGGACTAGAATTTATAGTGAAAGTCGGAACTGGAAGGAAACTTAAAGGTTATTCTAATGCAGACTGAAATGCAGAGGTCAAATGATTTTCCCAAGGTCACCAGCCAGTTTGTAGCATAGCAAGGATTACATCCTAGGTCTCTTGACTTCCTACCATCCCACCTTGCTCCTTTTTTTTTTTTTTAAACTGTAGTGATTTCTAAATAAGACTTTCTAGACAGGTGGAATGAGCCTCTTTCTGGGCGAATGGAAGAATGAAGGAGTATCAGCTTCTTCCTTGGTATCTCTGGCCTGTGAAAATTGTTAGTGGGATCCCTCTCTTAGGCCTTTCCAGTGGATATCACAGTCTCAGGGTGAGCAGTGGCTTCACCCAGGTGGTATTGGCAGGGCGAGCTAGGTCTCCTAGCCAGAAAAAAGGAGAAAGACAATGGCAGGGAGCAGCTAGGTGGCACAGTGGATAGAGCTCTGGCCCTGGAGTCAAGAGGACCTGAGTTCAAATGCAGCTTCAAACACTTGACACTTACTAGCTATGTGACCCTGGACAAGTCATTTAACCCCACCTACCTCACCAAAAAGGAAAACAAAAGACCAGTTGGGTAGCTGTGGTTGGGTTCTGACACACCAGAGCTCTAGTGTGGGGAAGGCTGATAGGGTCTGGTCCAAGATGCCACTTTGAAGGCACTAACATTTGCCCAGGCAGAGACTGGGTTGGTTCTGTACGTCAGAGCTATAATTTAATACTTGGCTTTTCCCTACTCAT